GCAAGCCAGGCAGCCAATTCCAAGCGAGATGACGCTTCCTGCAACAGCTGGCAGCAAGGTGAGTGAAACCCTAAACCCTACATCCTAAATCCTAAATCCTAAACCCTAAACCCTAAACCTGACTCTTTGCACCGCCCCTCTAGTGGGTAAGAAGGGCCAGGCAGAGCAATTGGACGAGAAACCTTGACGGAAATCCTAAACCACCCCGAGCCCTAGTAAAGAAAAGCAGCAACACCCTAAACCCTAAACCCTAAACTCGTCGCCATTGGCAGCGTGGCTTCCACAAGGACCCGACAGCCGGGACAAATTGGAGTGGGTATGTTGGTAAGTCTCTTCTTCTCCCTTCTAGCGGGGGCAATCTGGTGATACTACTGGCAGCTATTTGGGGGTTTACGAAAATAGGGGACCGCCAAGATAGACCCCAAATAGTCGGATCCCAATACAATAGAAATTCCCAATAAGGTACCCCCCCAGTTTCGGAAACCCCCATCTGGGCTTTTGGCTTTGAGTGAATCTTCAGACTCCAAAGCCACGTTGTGCAGGAGGCAAAGCCCGAACCCCAAAAAGCCCTCCTTGAACCCAAGACCTCCTATGAGTTTAGGGCATATGGGTTTAGGACAAATGGGTTTAGGGTTTAGGGTATAGGGTTTGGGATTGAGGGTTTAGGGTTTAGGGTTTAGGGTTTAGGGTTTAGGGTTTAGGGTTTAGGGTTTAGGGTTTAGGGTTTAGGGTTTAGGGTTCAAGGACCCTGAACCTTCAACCTCAAGTTGGCCTCCAGCCGGTCCACCATGGAACTCACCGCAGCCTGCCGCACTAAACCGTCAACCCTCAACCCTCAACCCCTCAACCCCTCAACCCTAAACCCTAAACCCGAAACCCTAAACCCTAAACCCTAAACCCTAACCCTAAACCCCAAACCCTAAACCCAAAAAAAATGCAAGAAAGCCGCCCTGCAGCCCCGAATCGCCCCCCACCCCCTATTCTAACCTGCAACCCAGAAAGTCTGAGGGGGCATAGGGGTTTAGGGTTTAGGGGTTGAGGGGTTCAGGGTTTAGGGTTTAGGGTTTAGCGTTTAGCGTTTAGGGTTTAGGGTTTAGGGTTTACAGGTTGAGGGGCTTGGGGTTTACGGGTTTCGGGGCTTGGGGTGGGGTTTGGGGCGACTGCTCAGAAAGCCGCCCAAGCGTCCTGTGACTGGCTGTCCATGGGCGGCGTAGGACGTAGGAGGGCTGACGTGGAATCAAACGCAGGGCTACAGGTACCCTACACCTAAAACAGCCTAAACCCAGGTATATCAGACCAGCCTTGGTGGGTTTAGGGCTTCCATCCTAAACCCCTCGACCGTTAAACCACCCTCAACCACTGTCAGCCCCAAGAACCTCCCAAAACTCATACCCCCTGTGGCCCAAAAGCCCTAAACCCTAAGCCCTAAACCCTAGCCCTAAACCCTAAACCCTAAGCCGACACAGAGCTGGGCCTGGAACGAAGTTCTGGGTTTTCTCTGCGGAGGTCTCTTTCGTAGGGTACTCTCTGAGTGTTAGGACAAGAGATGAATCCCCACACTTTCCAAACCCTGAACCCTTCTAAACCCTAAACCCGAAACCCTAAACCCTAAACCCCAAACCCCAAACCCTAAACCCTAAACCCCAAACCCTAAACCCGAAACCGTCCGTCATTGCGCCTTAAAGGAGCCGCCCTGCGAGGCGCGCTCGCCCTCCCCGAGGAAGGCTTCCTCAGGCTCAGGGTGGTTTAGGGTTTAGGGTTTAGGGTTTAGGGTTTAGGGTTTAGGGTTTAGGGTTTAGGGTTTAGGGTTTAGGGTTTAGGGTTTAGGGTTTAGGGTTTAGGGTTTAGGGTTTAGGGTTTAGGGTTTAGGGATTGGGGTTTAGGGTTTCGGGTTTAGGGTCTAGAGCTTAGGGTTTAGGGGTTAGGGGTTAGGGGTTAGGGTTTAGGATGTAAAGTTTAGGGTTTAGGGTTCACTGGGGTAAGTTACCATCAGGGGGCGGGGGAATCGAGAGAACTTTGAACTGAGCAACCAAAATACGTTGCACTCTGGTGCTCGGAACCCTAAACCCGAGACCCTTAACTCTAAATTTCCTAAGCTGTTCCCGGAACCCTGAACCCTAACCCCTAAACCCTAAACCCTAGACCCTAAACCCTAAACCCTGAACCCTAAGTTCCCGGGTTCTGAATCATGATGGCCCCTTCTATTGTTTTAGGCTTTTGGGTTGGGGTCTGGGGTTTCGGGCTAACCGTTCGGGTCGAGGCCTGTCAGCTGCTTAGGTGTTAAAAGTTAAAAGGCAGAAAAAAAGGCGCCGCCTGCATTTGGGTCATCTGCCTGACGATCACCTGGCTCTCAGCTCTAGGGGGCGTGGTTTTTTGGGGGGAGAGGGGGGGGCCTGTAAGAAGATCAATTTCTACAGGCTTTCTAGGGCTATATATGTGGAGATTAGGGCCCATAGAAGTTTAAGGCTAATTCCAAATCAACTCCAGTCTAAGTCTACGGGTCTTGTGGAAGGAATCAGAATGATGACAGCTTCCATGTGCGCGCGTGTGTGTGTGTGGGGGTGGTGGTGGGGGACGGGGGGAGTTCTCAGATTAGGTTTGCTCTTTGAGTCCTCCTGGTGGAGGACTGACAATGCTTCCGTTCACCCTCCAAACATTGTAAAATTGGAGCCCTGAACCCTAAACCCTAAACCCTAAACCCTACACCCTAAGCCCTAACCCTAAACCCTAAACCCCTTTGGAATTAAGCCCCTCAGCTGCTTGCAAGATGGGCAAGTGTGGGCCTTGGTCAATCCCGCCAAATGGTAAACCCTAAACCCTCAACCCTGAACCCTCGGCCCTAAAGCCTAAACCCTAAACCCTAAACCCTAAACCCTAAACCCTAAACCCTAAACCCTAATCAACGCTAAACCCTAAACCCTAAGGCCCAAACTTGCTTGGGTATACTTGCTTAAAGGGGCTTGGGTTGGACTGCTTCGCCCTCCCCGCCTCCCGCAGCTGCATCTCCATGTTGGCGGCGGAGTCTCGCATGATCTCCTGAGCGAAGATTTTACGTGGGTTTAGGGTTTATGGTTTGGGGTTTGGGGTTTAGGGTTTAGGGGTTTAGGGTTTAGGGTTTAGAGTTTAGGGTTATCAGGATTTAGGGTTTAGGGTTTAGGGTTTGCTCCCTTTTTGTTAAGCGTGCCGTACTCTACAGGGGACCCACGAAGGGATCCTGGCTGTAGAGAACTATCCGTATAAGCCGAACTTTACGAAAAAGGAGAAGTCAATGACACCGCTATACTTTAGCATCGGGAAAAGGAATAGATTCGCACACGTTGTGACCTTGTAACTTTTGGAACGTAAATTCAAAACTGTCATGCGCTCGTCTTTCGAACAGCCTACACCCTGAATGATGCACAGTGTTTTGAACAGGTAGGTTGCCTTGAAGACAAGTTCAAGAGTGAAACTTACAAAACAGTTGTGTAAACACATGAGCTTACCATGTACTTGTAAATCCGTTGATACTGTACGCGACTCTGGCTTGATGGCAGGCGATGCTTACGAACACTTTAGCCAGATGTGCTCCAGCGGAACTCTTCGAACACAAAGAAGCACAAGCCTCCAGCAACTTACAGAACTTCGAAGGAGACTTAAAACCCCTAAGCCCTAAGCCTTAAACGCCTAAACCCTGAACGCTCAAAAGAAAAAAACAAAAACTCGGCAACTTGGGGTGTTCCCCCTTCTACTAACAGTCCTGAATAGGGATTATAGTTGGGGGCACTATATCCCCTATTCAGGGACTGCTAGTATAAGGGGGCAACTTCCCAAAAGCAGCAACCAAGACGGTGCCAAAAGAGGCCTGGGATCCGCCGTGCACCACCCCGAGGCCAAACGAAGCATGAAAACAAACACCACAAAAAGGCAGAAGAAAAAAAGAGGTAAAAAATGGTTTAGGGTTTAGGGTTTAGGGTTTAGGGTTTAGGGTTTAGGGTTTAGGGTTTAGGGTTTAGGGTTTAGGGTTTAGGGTTTAGGGTTTAGGGTTTAGGGTTTAGGGTTTAGGGTTTAGGGTTTAGGGTTTTGATACCCTGAAACCCCAAACCCTCAGCCCTAAGCCCTAAGCCCCAAACTGCTGGGGTGCCAGCAGCGGGGGAGATCCAAGGTGAGCCCAGAGCCAGCTTCTTAGGGTTTGTTACATGGTCCCTGAATATGCCCTGAAAAGGGGACCGTTTAGGGTTTAGGGTTTAGGGTTTAGGGTTTAGGGCTTAGGGCTTAGGGCTTAGGGTTTAGGGTTTAGGGTTTAGGGTTTAGGGTTTAGGGTTTAGGGTTTAGGGTTTAGGGTTTAGGGTTTAGGGTTTAGGGTTTAGGGTTCCCTTAGTATGGGCCCTTAATAGGGGACCCCTTATATACCCTATACATCCCAAGGCCCCATACTTCAGAACCCTTTAAGGGAGGTAAGGGACCACATCAATCAAGGGGGCCATGTAACTACCCTTAGACAGATTGAAGGGTTTTAGGGTTCAGGAAGCCTAAACCCTAAACCTTAAACCCTTAACCCTGAACCCCAAACCCTAAACCCTAAACCCTAAACCCTAAACCCTAAACCCCTCGAGGAGGCGCATGGGTTTGAGGGCCTTTTGGGGTTTAGGGAGTTGCGGGTTTTGGGGGCGCAACCCACTCCCTGAACGAAGCTCAAGCAGCCCTGAACATCCATAGGGTTCAGGGTTTCGGGTTCAGGGTTTAGGTTTAGGGCTTAGGGTGTAGGGTTTATGGTTTAGGGTTTAGGGCTTAGGGTTTAGGGTTTAGGGCTTAGGGCTTAGGGTTTAGGGTTTAGGGTTTAGGGTTTAGGGTTGAGGGTTTAGGGTTTAGGGTTGAGGGTTGAGGGTTTAGGGTTTAGGGTTTAGGGTTTAGGGTTTAGGGCTTAGGGCTTAGGGCTTAGGGCTTAGGGCTTAGGGTTTAGGGTTTAGGGTTTAGGGCTCTTGGGGTTTAGGGGGTTCTGATCCCATTGCTGCCGGAAGTGCGGAGCGCGTGAAGCTCTGCAGGCTCTCAGCACTGGTGTGCATGGTCTCCTTCTGTGAGCAGCTCTGTGGGGCCTCTTTGGGAGGATGGGGGGGGGGGGGGGGGGGGGGGGGGGGGGGGGGGGGGGGGGGAGCGGTGCGGTGTGGGGTGCAGGGCCGGGCCGTTCAAGTGCAGGGCTTCGGGATTTCCGGCGCGCACGGCTCAGGGTCTTGGACTGCGGGGCTTGGGTTTGGGTTTTTGGGGATTTAGATTCGTGGTTTTGGGTGTAGGGTCTCTGAAACGCTGAACAAGAAGAGTCTCCTGCGCGTTGGTCAGCATGTCCATGATCATCCTTGGCATTGGCAGGTTTAGCTTTGCGTTACTACTACGAGAACTTTGTACGACAAAGATTTCGATGACGACTGCTAGCGCTAGTACTCCGGTACCTCGTACAAGTGCTGGTACAAGCACAGGCACTTTTACTAGCTCTATCGTACTCCTGCACTTACTCTTACTCCTACTCTTAGTTGCGCTCTTGCTCTTGCTACTCTCTACTACTCTCAAGTCATTATTATGGGGCATGTTTACAACGAGGCCAACTTTGGATTGGGAGCTTCAGAAAACTGCCTCAAAAGGCTTTGGGGTTCAGGGTTTAGGGTTTAGGGTTTAGGGCGTGCGCCCTTAGGGCACCCCGCGCCCCCCGTTCCCATCCCCCCGCGACAAAAAGCAAAAAAGAATGCAGGCTTGGGAACACCTTACTTTGTACAAGATTGCTACCATCATGACTAGTATTGCTCCTGTAGCACATATTGTTTATTACTTCTGTTTGTTACTGCTATTACTCTGCTTGCCCGTTGCTATCAAACGGAATTGCGACTAGATCCCCGACCGATTTTAGAAGATCCTTTTTATGAAAGAAGTGAGAGACAGATTTTTCGCAAGACATTAGCAGCGAAAGATATGAAATCCTTGAGGTTCCAGCGGAACTAAACCGCGCAGTAAACTCCAGAGGAACTTGGAACGATGTTCCAGCTCTTGGAGTTCACTGAAAACCTTCAACAGGCGTGGAACAATTCCTCCGGGCTTGGGGGCTATGGCTCCTATTTACTTTATCTCATTTTTTGCTGTTCTCATGACTACTACAATTCTGCTGGACAGCCTGCCTCCATGTCGTTACGGTTTAGCTAAACCCTAAACCCTAAACCCTAAACCCTAAACCCTAAACCCTATACCCTAAACCCTAAACCCTAAACCCTAACCCTAAACCCTAAACCCTAAACCCTAAACCCCAGGCTGAAGGTTCAGGTCCTGGAGTTTGGAGCTGAGGTGCATGTTCTGGCGACGGACGTCAGCCATGCGCTCCTGCGCGGAGGAGCTTCGCCCGAGAACCGGTGTAGCAGGGTGTTTTTTTAAGGGTTTCGGGTTTAGGGTTTCGGGTTTGGGGTTTAGGGTTTAGGGTTTAGGGTTGAGGGTTTAGGGTTTAGGGCTTAGGGTTGAGGGTTTAGGGTCTAGGGCTTAGGGTTTAGGGTTTAGGGCTTAGGGTTGAGGGTTTAGGGTCTAGGGCTTAGGGTTTAGGGTTTAGGGTTTAGAGTTTAGGGTTTAGGGTTTAGGGTTTGGGCTTAGTAAGGATACTTCGGGGGCAGTTTAGCTTGCAATTTCACAGCCTGAAGTTGGTCGCAATACGCATCCCCCTGGCTTGCCACCGCAGGTTGTCTCCTCGAAACGCCTCAACCCAAAAAGCTCAGAGAGCCTACCTCGTTGGCCCGCAATAGCCCTAAACCCTAAACCCTAAACCTTTAACCCTAAACCCTAAACACTAAACCCTAAACCCTAAACCCTGCACCGGTTCGGTGCTGGGCTGCCGGAAGCTCTTCGGATCTTTGGGTTGGAGCCGGGTACAGGACGTCCATTGAAGAGCCAGGACGAAAGGCTTCACCTTCAGTTCCTGTCTAAAGTGCCAAACTGCCAAGGCCTCAACCCTAACCGTTAACCCCTCCAGCTCCCCTCACCCCCCCCCCCCCCCCGGGCCATCCGCAACCCCCAGCCCACCCAGCCCATGCCTCTTGCATGGTGGAAGCCTTCTCCGTGGCGTCGACCATTGCGTTGCCCTGTGGTCTGGGGTTTGCCGTCGGTTATTACACTACTACATTGTTACATTCTTACATCAGTATTGCATGTTGCATTCTTACAGCATTGCTGTATTGCATTATTTCAGTACTACATGATTACAGGGTTGCATGATTACATGATTACATACCTAAACGATTTCATTTATCAAATGGTTGCATTGTTACGTTTTGAACTATACAGTTATACTCTCATAGCAATATAGCAGTCTACGAACTTATTGTCATGCAACGACTATGCGATCATACTATGCCTATATAAACCGTTTTGTAGAATCATAGTATTCTAAAAATATAAAAGTAGAATATGCTGCTATCTAACTATATCAAGTCATTATTTTTAAACTATTCCAATCTTTTCATATTCTCTCATTACGTGACGAAATGTTGATATTGAATTCTTCACGGTGATATTTTGTAGTAGGATATCTTCATATTAATGGTTTGTAGTGCTATGTCAATACATACGCTTGGAAGTTCATGAGAAGCCATGTGTAGGTCTATAAGCCCTAGATTCCTAAAACCATGCACATGAAACCCTACAAACGCCACGCATGTGGACTTAGCGAGCTACAAGTACACCTACCTACCTATCCTACTTCACTTATAGCCCAGCTACAACCCTAAACCCTAAACCCTAAACCCCCACTTATAGCCATGCCTTGTTTTGCTGCTTTTATGGGGGCTCTGGTTCTCCAGTCTGGGGCTAGCAGTGGTGGTACCGGTGGTGGTAGTACTAGCGTAGTCGTAAAGGGCACCCAGATAAAAATCATCACTCAGAGCGCAATCCTAAACCCTAAACCCTAAACCCTAAACCCTAAACCCTAAACCCTAAACCCTGATACCACAAACTGCACAAGTCGCTACGCTCGCTGCTCTCAGAATGCGCCTGTGCGGCCAAGGTTGCCAAGTCCCCACGCAGGGAGGAGAGGACCTTGTCAGAGCCTCGAGTTTTAAGGGGGTGCTGAGGTTTGAGGGTTTAGGGTTCAGGGTGAGTAGTACAATGATAGAAAAGCATAACCATATGTAAAATTGCTCATATGACATAACATTGTGTAAGAATCTCATAAGTCAGAATATAACGTATCATAATACAAGAATCTGAGAGGATAAGAATAGAACCGAACATATGAACGTGATAAAGGAAAGAGTTTGAACCTTGGGGGCTCCAGGTCCCGAATTTGGGAGGGTTTGGCCCTGATGTCATAGGTTCCCCTACTACCCCCTCATCATTCTCTTGAATTCTCAGGATGGATACGTGGTCCCTTAGTATGGGCCCTTACAATGGGACCCCTTATAGACCCCGTATAGACCCTAAAGAACTCATACTTCGGAACCCCTTAAAGAAGTCAAGGGACCAATTTAAGGGTCCGGGTACAACTGCCCTTAGATTAATGCTTCCCTCTGTGACTGTGCTTCCGGGATACACCACCACGAATTGGGACTTCGGATTCGGCGGCTTTTGAGATTTTTCTCAGGGTGCTACTGTTTGCCCTGCGCAGGGGCCTACCAGTCACAACCGAAACCCCAAACCCCAAGCCCTAAACCCCTAAGCCCCAAACACTAAAGCCCCAAACCCTAAACCCTAAACCCCACGTAAGCCGCGCCACATAGTGTCTGAGAGCGCGAGAGGCTGTCGCTGACGTCCGTCAGGCGGCGCTCGACGCAGCCCTGGTTTTCTAGCTTCCAGCCCTCGACTCGCCATCCGAAACACTATATCTTCCTAAACCCTAACCCTAAACCCTAACCCCTTTAAAACCTCCTAACTTGAATCTTGGACTCTGAGCCTTTTACTTGAGGCCCAAATCCCTGAACCCCCAAGCTTCCTCCTCGAAAACCGTGGAGGGTTTGGGGTTTAGGGGGCCTATGCTGAAATCGTGAAGGCCGTTAAGGGTGTAGAGTTTATCGAGCTTAGGGGTAAAAGGGTAAAACGGCTGAGGGTTGAGTATGTAGAATTTCGGGCTTAGGGTAAAAGGTTGACCTTTGGGCAGCGGGAGGGTGGGGGGGGGGGGGGGGGAAGTGGTCAAAAAAAGATTCGGAGAGTCATCTGCTCAGCACCGAAGGGCTTTCGGTGGTTTGGGGGTGGGGGTTCTGGGATGGTGTAGCGTATGTCATGTGTGTAAAAACCTAAATCATCGTGGGCTCTTCGTATGATTCAAGTTCTATCATGCCACTGTGCAGCGAGAGCATCTTAAGACGCACACTCTCCATGCACACTCTCCACGCACACTCTCCACGCACACTCTCCAAGCACACTCTCCACGCACGCTCTCCACGCAGAAATTACGTGCACAGATGTGTGCGTCTACATGTCTTTGTATTGATCCGAAGAACCACAAGAGATCACAATAACGACTATGATAACTAGCCTAATGATAACAAATGCGATGATGATCTTAGGCGAAGAAAATGCTGCACACTTCTTCCGATCTGCTATAAGTCGCAGCCGCATGAACAACGATGCTCTACAGACACATGGGGGTTTCCGAACATAGGGGTGCCCTTTTGGGGGGTCCGTATTATAAGGGGATTCTATTGTATTTGGGGAATAAAAAGGGCAATATAGGGGCCTTAATACTTAGAACAGGGTTTTGGGGGGTTTATTATAGTATACATATAAATAGGGACAGGGAACACATAGAGGAAGATGCGGGGACCTCGACCACCATGTCGGGGTATATGGTTTATGGTTTAGGGTTCAGGGTTTAGGGTTTAGGGTTTAGGGTTTAGGGTTTAGGGTTTAGGGTTTAGGGTTTAGGGTTTAGGGTTTAGGGTTTAGGGTTTAGGGTTTAGGAGCGTCCAAAAAAACCCTCCACCACAAACATATCCGAGGGCCTACCGGTTCAGCTCCCAGTCTCCGAGCCTCCACCTCCACGAGGCGGCGCTGCGTGAACTCGTTGCCTAGACCCAAGAGTATACCAGGGTTTAGGGTTTAGGGTTTCGGGTTTCGGGTTTAGGGTTTCGGGTTTAGGGTCTAGGGTTTAGGGTCTAGGGTTTAGGGTTGAGGGTTGAGGGGGGGGGGGTGGGGGGGGGGGTGGGGGGGGGGGGGTGGGGGGGGGGGGGGGTGGGGGGGGGGGGGGGGGGGGGGGGGGGGTGGGGGGGGGGGGGGTGGGGGGGGGGGGGGGGGGGTGGGGGGCGAAGGATGGGGGGGGGGGGGGCAAAGCAAAAGCGGGGGGGGCGGGGGCGGGCGGGAAGGACTGCACAAAAAGCCCTAATCCCTGAGCCTCAAACCTTAATGTTTAAGGTTGCAAGGTTACAGGGGGAAAGCTCATCGGAAGAGAGGAGGTTTCTCCTCAAGCCCCCCGAAGTCATCACCCGCACACCCGCCCGCCCACCCCGTTCCATGCCTGAGTCCACCTTCTTGGCAAGAGTGGTCTGAGACGATGCCACGCCCTGGCGGAGAAAGGGAAGGCCCCCAGAACAGAGTTGTGGGTTTGGGGCTGGGAGGTTTAGGTGCACAAACCCTCAGGCCGAATCTTCCCCTCATGATCGTCTATTCTGGAATCTTACAGATTGTCGTTGTCGTATGTTAGAATATACTTATACTATGAACTATTGGGGCATGTTATGGAATACTTAGTATGGGTAGGAGGGGGGGGGTCTTAGTATTAGGGGAATGAGGTATGCCCTGTAGCATCCCTTCAACAGTACACATATCAATTCCTTCATTCCCTACTAAGAACCAGGTGAACCCTTTTTCTGGAGGCCATGGAGACCCGGGAGTCCCCGTGGACTGCTTTGGCTGAGGGTAACGAGTGGGAATTCATGGACGTAAGCACGAAACCCGAGGAGGAATACTTGGTAGCCCAGTAACCAATATTCTAATAAGGGTACCCTTTTCGGGGTTGGTTTCTTAATAATGGAACCTTGAACCAAAAAAAGGGACAAGGGTACCTGTGAGCTACCAAGAATACAGATGCGTAGAGCCCTGCGGAGGCCAGGGTGGGAAGAAGGAAGCCCCACCACCCTGGGCTGTTGGCACCTTAGTCAACAAATCGCACTTGTCCCTGAACCCTGAACCCTCAGCCCTACACCCCAAAACCCCGAACCTTTTTCCCTAAACCTTAAACCCTAAACCCCAAAACCCCGAACCTTATACCCACCCACTTTTGGGCCTGCAACACCGCGTGCGACTCGTGGCTCTGCTTGAGGAGGTCCTGCCCGAAATGACCCGAAGTGCTTGCGTAGAGTCAGGCTGAACCGTGAACAGGCTTTGGGCGCGCAGGGTTCAGGGCTCCTTGGCTTTGAGGGCTTTGAGGCACAGGGCTTAGAGCTCTTCGAGGTGTAGTGAGCGCTTAGGACTTAGAGTTTTGGGGCTCCATGTATGGTTCGCGGGCTTAGGGCAAAAGAGTTCGGGGCTCAGGGCCCAGGCGATGGAAGGTGTTGCAAGCCAGGCTACCGGTTCGCCCAGTGTTGCCATGCTCTGAAGCTCTTCATTGCGGATTCAGGTAGGCTGCCTCGACCTTCAACCCATAAACCCTGAAATACGAAAGCCCTGAACCCTAGAAGCCACAAACACCGTGCTCAGCCTTGTAGAGGGTACCCTGAAACCAAATATGACCCTCATCTCAGGGTTTAGGTTTCTGGAAAGTCCCAAGCTATCTTGAATGCCTATACTAGACCAGGCCGTCGCAGGGGCTTTGGGGGCAGCGGGGGGGGAGGGGGGGGTGGGGTGTCTATTGTAGCGCATTGCTTATCACCAAGCGTACAAAAGAAGGGTTCCTAATATTCATCGACCGCCGAGTAGGAGTCTGGGTAGACCAGTAACCCTACCATAATAAGGGCACCCTTTTTTGGGGTTGGTTACTTTGTAAGGGAACCCACTTATCAGCCCCTTAAGTGCCCGAACACGGCTATATTTGGGATAGAAGTACAGTTAGTATCGGGTGAATACGTACCAAGAACCTCCAAGTAGAGTTCTAGGTCGAGCTTAAGGTGACCCTAAACCCTAAACCCTAAACCCTAGGAGCTTTAGACGAGGAATCTGATCAGGCTCGGGCACCTCATTGTGCTACATACGGCCCTCGCGGCTGCCACTGCGGTTTAGGGTTTAGGGTTTAGGGTTTATAGGTTTAGGGTTTAGGGTTTAGGGTTTCGGGTTTAGGGTTTCGGGGGTTCCCCGCGCCTGCTGTGTTGCATCAAGCTTCTGCAGGAGCGCGGACGAGGAGGTGTTGACCTCCAAGCGCACACCCCCTTAGCCCCCAAACTCTGAACTTTAAACCCTAAACCCTAAACCCTAACCTTTAACCCTAAACCCTAAACCCTAAACCCTAAACTGAACTTTAGACTCTCAAACCAAGACTTGGGATGTTCCCGATAGGGACTGCAGAAGCCCCTATGATGATCCCTATCAAGGACTGCTCGTACAAGGGGGAACATCCCAACCCTAAAACCCTAACCAGAACTTTAGACTCGAAACCCAAAACCCCCGAGACCTCCAGGTGGACCTCACGAAACCCAAAAAACCCTAAACCCTAAACCCTAAACCCTAAACCCTAAACCCTAAACCTCGCCCCTTCAACCTTCAACCTGACTGGGCCTTCGGTAAAACCCAAACCCTGAACGCTAAACCCTAAACCCTAAACCCATACACCCGTAAACCCTACAACTTGGGAGTTTTCCCCCTTATACTAGCGGCCCTGAATAGGGATTCTAACAGCGGGTACTACAATCTTAAGGACTGTTAGTATAAGGGGGAACATCCCTAACCCTAAACCCATAACAGGGAACATCCCTAAACCCTAAACCCTAAACCCTTGCCTTAAACCCCAATCCCCAAACCCTAAACCCTAAACCCTAAACTCTAAACCCTAAACCCTAAACCCTAAACCTAAACCCTGCTTCTATTTGGGCGCCGTGTCCAGGAGCGCGCTCTTGGTGCTCTCGCTGGCACCTGCTTCTATTTGTTGGTGCGCTCGACGGAGCTACTTCCTCAATCCTAAACCCTATAAACCTTAAACCCTAAACCCTAACCCTACACCCTAAACACCAAACGCTAAACCCTAAACCGGGTTGATTTTTTCGTTGAAGCGGTGTGCAAGCTGAAGGGCAAGTCGTGCTATACAACTGCGCTGTCCAGGCCCGACCGGAACCCGAAACCGCTCTTCCTGCACCCTACCTGGAGGTTCAGGGGTCGTTACAAGTAGGGTTATAAGTACCACGAGTAATGTCATAAGTAGAGTTACCCTACTTATCACCCTACTTAAAACTACCCATGAACCTCCAAGTAGTGACCCCTCCTGTAAACGAATAGCCTTGAACTAAAATGATAAACCCTGATCCCTGCAGCCCTAAATCCAAAACCTAAACCCTGGAGCAATGAGTGCTGTATCTCTCAGCGTTTAGGTTTCGGATGTAGGGTTTTAGGGTGGGATTTAGGGTGTAGAGTTTGAGGGTTTTCAGGCGCAAGTCGAGAGGGGAAACTCTGCACCCTGAGCCCTACCGCGCGGTCGAAAACCCCAAACCATTTGGATTGCTTCGGTCTTTAATGACCCTTAGCCATCGATCCTGAACCCTCACTGCCTACCTGCGATGTTGGTCACCAGGTTTCCGTACGAGTTGACCATCTGGTCCACGACGGACTGGACAAGGTTTAGGGTGTATGGTTTAGGATTGAGGGTTAAGGGTTGAGGGTTTAGGGTCTAGGGTTTCGTGTTTAGGGTTCTGTTTTTTGGGTTCAGGAACCAACTCCAGAAGGTGCTTTAAAACTGCCACAGAGAGGCTCAGCATCACGCGCCTGACTGATATAGGGCCTTAATAATTAGAATCGGAGTTTGGGGGGTTCTTATCGTATATTTGTATAGGGACCATCAAGGAATAGTACTGGTAGTCGTTATTCCGACCCCTACATTCGTGGCGTGAATTCTCCCAGCCAGGGTCTCGTTCGGTTTCCCCTGAACCCTCTGCCCTAGCGCCGAGCTTGTTCAAGCCACCCTTAAACCGCGCAGGCCTTAGACCCTAGACCGTGGATGTCCCCCGCACCCTGGAACGTAAATCTCACTGCAACTATGCTGACGCCTAAACCTGAAACCCTAATCCCTAAACCCTATACGCTATACCCTTGATAGTATGACTTCTACAGGGTGAGGGGGGGGGGGGGGACTCTGACGCAGACGGGCCTTCTGGGAGTCCATCTTTTGCATCACGGTCTCCTGGAAGCTTCAGCGGATGTGAGGGCCTTTTGACCTACTTGGTTTAGGGTTTAGGGTTGGGTTATAAGTACAGTTAGTGTTGGGTTAATAAGTACCCTGAACCTCCAAGTACTGTTCCAAAAAGGAGGGGCGCCTAGAAGGGACCCTTAATCTTATTCCCCTATATGATCCCCCATGTATACCTTACATAGCCCCTATATAGTATAGGATGACCAGAGATGCTCCGACAGACATCTTTCGATGCCCCAGCACCAGCAAACCGAGGGAAGAACGCGAAGAGCGATTGCTTCACTACCCCCAATCGATCTCTCTTTCTTCTTCATCGCATACAGCGAGGCGGAGCCTCCACTAGTGCTCTTGCGAGTGTCTGGTTTAGGGCTCAGGGTGTAGGTTGGGATGCTCACCCCTTCTACTCGATCTCGGCTTCTTCTTGGGGGTCCCCGATACAAGATGGCACCCTGAAAGAGGGAGCCTAAAAAAAGGGGACCCCAACATCCGAAAACGTCGGGCCAAGAGCAAAGCACAAAAGCGACATGTTCTCGAAGGTTGACGGGATTTTGGGGCCTGGGCCTTTTGGCTGTAGATTTGAGGATTTGTTTTTCTCTCTTTTTTTGTGGTGGAAGGGGGGGGGGGGGGCCTTGGCTTTGAGAGGCTGCTAAGCCTTGGGCATTCTTTCAGAGCCTGCTGAGCTGTAGAATGCAACCACTCAATAACTTGCTTTTTGAACCCTAAACCCTGAACCCTAAACCCTAAGCGTTCTGCAACGAACCTCCGGATCTGGTCTCTTCTTTGAAATTGACAGGGGTGTCGTGCTTTGGGCTGCGGAAGCCAAAGCTGCAGAGCAAGGGGTTGAGAAGGTTTCGGGATTTGTGGCTTAAGGGGTAAAGGGAGGGACCCTAGAAGGGGCTCTTGACATTAGTCCCCAATCTAACCCCTATCTACCTATCTATATACATATATATATATATATATCTCTCTCTCTCTCTTCTCCAGTCCCTATTTGCAAAGGTAGCAAGGTCCCTTACACGGGTCCCTCCTTTAGTCCCTTGAGCGGCGTTGAGGGCTGAGCCTAGACCAGAACCCTAAATCCATTTTTGGGGTCGTCCCTGTCACCAGACAAAACCCCAGGAAGGCGGAGAGGTGTGGTAGCATCCCCTGATACCTCACAACCCCGACAACCCTTCAACCCACCACCCAGCAACCTTAACCCTCGCAGCCCTGGGCCTAAACAAGATCCCGACAACCGAACAAAACTGAAATCAAAAAGACTACAAAGGCAAACCTAAACCAAACCCTAACCCCACACCCCAAACCCCAAACCTAAACCCTAAACCCTAAACCCTAAACCGTGAACCCTGAACCCTGAGCCCTGCTCCCAGGAGGTCCTGGGAGGAGTCCAGCTTGTGCAGCAACACTTGGCAGGCATTGACAGTCTGCAAGAGGGAGACCTTTCAGGATTTGAGAGCTTGGTTTAAAAACCCTAACCCTAAACCCCAAACCCTAAACCCTAAACCCTAAGCCCCAAACGCTGCTGAGCCGAACTCCTAAAATCGGAGCCTTAAAGCTTATCCGGAGGGGGGTGGGGCAGGGGCCCACCTGATCTCGAATGCCGGCCATGAACCCAAAAGCTCGAGGTGTTACAATGTTACAATGGCAGTGTGCAGAATTGAGGGTCCTTCCCTTCGAAGCCATAAGGGAAGAAAACCAAGACTAGGGCTCATGAAAAACAGCCCCGAGACCCAGAGGCACCAGAAACATGATGGCCCTGCGAAGAAAGGAGAGCTGGTTTAGGTTTCGGGTTTAGGGTTTAGGGGTGAGGGTTTTACCGAGCCCCAACAGATCTGACCTGAGAGAAGTCCATCCGCTGGGAGATAGCTTCCTGGTCGCGTCGGGCGCACAGTGTGGGTGGGAGCACACAGCGGAAAATTGCGGGGGGAGGGAGAGGGGGGGGGGGAATCAAAGGCGGAGTGACACCGACTTGAAGGGGGTTGGGAGGCAGGTTCACCATCATGCGGGAATCATGCTCCCAACTGACAAGACTCTTTCGACGGCAGAAGGTCAGCGAGTCCCCAAGATCGACTTCGGGATGTCGTGAGATTGGGGCTTAGGGTTTTTAGGGTTTTGAGTTTGAGTTCGTTTTTTGGATTCATTATGTTTTGTGCTCCTTGGAACTCCCAAAAATGGACCCTCACTACTATCGTAGCCGAAATTCAAGTTCCTCAACAAGACCCAGGGCTACCTACGACATAGCCCTACTATTGGAACTCGATTCTTAAGCTCCTTTCAAGAGCCCCGGCTATGTGGGAGCAACCGTGAACCCGGAACCACGCCACAAAGCCTCTGAAGCCTAATCCCTAAACACGCCACAAAGCCGTCCTGGGTAGACTCCAGCTGGCGCTGCATGTTATCTTCCATCATGTGCAGCTTGGTCATGACGGCGTCCTGGCATGCATCTAGGGTGCATCTAGGGGTCCCAGTAGGGCTTCCAGCGTAGGGCTAAGAAACCTGACGAATCTGAGATGAAAGGGACCCAAACCCCAACCCTAAACCCTAAAATCCAAACCCTAAACCCTCAACCTGAAACCAGGCGTTCGATCTCAGCCCGGACAGCAATGGGGGGGCCTGGAAAGGAATCATGACCCTGTTGATCACCGCCTTGGCGCGCGAAGGTGGCGGCAATTTTTGTTCGCTTGTGATTGTCGTTAAGGTTTCGGGTTCAGGGTTTACGGTCTCGGGTTTAGGGTCTAGGGTTTAGGGCTTCCGTGCTACGAGTAGCCCGCAAAACCGAGGCTAGACCCTAATTGGGCTTGGAGGGTTCCTGTCAAGGATCTATCCAAGGTCTTTCCGAGGAACAGGATGGGTCTAATTCCGGTTTGGGGGTTCAGGCTGGGATGTTCCCCCTTATACTAACAGCCCTGAATAGGGATTATTTTCCGGGGTACTATGGTCCCTATTAAGGACCCTAAACCCTAAACCCTAAACCCTAAACCCTAAACCCTAAACCCTAAACCCTAAACCCTAAACCCTAAACCCTAAACCCTAAACCCTAAACCCTAAACCTAACCCTAAACCCTAAACCCTAAACCCTAAACCCTAAACCCTAAACCCTAAACCCTAAACCCTAAACCCTAAACCCTAAACCCTAAACCCTAACCCGACTGTTGGTAGGAGAACATACCAAGGTTCAGGCGTTGAGGGGTTCAGGTCATGCCTTTGCAGCAGAGCCGCTGTCAGCTGGTCCTCCATGCCCCCGATGTCCATCATCACGCTGCCACCCATCCCCATCCTGTGGTTTAGGGTTTAGGGTTTAGGGTTTAGGGTTTGGGGTTTGGGGTTTAGGGTTTAGGGTTTAGGGGTTAGGGTTTAGGGTTTAGGGTTTAGGGGTTCGGGCTTAAGGTTTTGGGTTTCGGGGCTCAAGGTTTTGGGTTTTGGGGCTTGGGGTTTACCATCGGCCCTCCCAGCACCCGAACGCCAACAAGCAACAGCACCCCCAAACCCCCGAAACCCAAAACCCATTGAAACCTTGAGCCCTCACACCGTGAACCCTGAAACTCCAAAGCACAAAGAACACACCCTAAAGCCTCAACCCTAAACCCCAAAGCCCTCAACCCTAAACCCTAAACCCTAAACTTTCGTGACAATTGCAGCGGCGCGCCCGGCCAACGGGGGCGTGCTGATGCCACCTGGCCTGGGGGGGCTCTTGGGAGAGGAGTGTTTGGGGGGGGGGGGGGGGGTCTTGGGTTTTAGGGTTTAGGGCTTAGGGTTTAGGGTTTAGGGCTTAGGGCCTAGGGGTTAGGGTTTAGGGTTTAGGTTTAGGGTTTAGGGTTTAGGGTTTAGGCCCTAGGGTTTAGGGTTTAGGGTTTAGGGTTTGGGGTTTAGGGTTTAGGGTTTAGGGTTTAGGGTTTAGGGTTTAGGGTTTAGGGGTTTAGGGTTTAGGGTTTAGGGTTTAGGGTTTAAGGTTTAGGGTTTAGGGTCTAGGGTTTAGGGTTTAGGGTTTAGGGTTTAGGGTTTAGGGGCGGGGTTAAGGATTTAGGGCATGGCACTTGTCCTGCTCAGAAAGGCCTGTGAACCGACATCAGGGAAATGGGCTGCTTGCGTTCCAGGGGGCATGCCAGGGAGTGCATTGATCAGCTGTTTGCCGGTCACGCGCTCTTTGTTGGCCTGCAGGCAGGCTGAAAGTGGAAAGATCGAAGCTGCAGTACTTGTTTACGGTTTAGGGTTTTAAGGGTAGGGGTTAGGGTTTAGGGCTTAGGGCTTAGGGCTTAGGGCTTAGGGCTTAGGGCTTAGGGCTTAGGGCTTAGGGCTTAGGGCTTAGGGCTTAGGGCTTAGGGCTTAGGGCTTAGGGCTTAGGGCTTAGGGCTTAGGGCGGCCTAAACCCCGTATGTGAGCTTGGGGCGGGGGGATCAAAGAAGCCATAGTTCTTGAGGATTTGTTCATGAGGAGCTCCCCACCAAAAAAAGACAAAGAATTCATACATATGTATGTATATATACACATAGAGAGAGAGAGTGCGGCTTGCCATGGGACCCCTCTTTTTGTGTTATAAATCTTTCATAGTTATGTGTTCGCTGCGCGAATAAACCCTTGAACGAATAACTGAACAAGGTTTAGTATTAAGCGAATCAGACTTAGGAATAATGAGGTGTAGTGATTGAGGTTTAAGAGTACTGGGCCAACAAGAAGACCCGCACTCATGGTGCTCTAGAAGCACATGGAGCTGATTCTAAATGAGTGTCCCTACCTTTTGTAATGGACACCCTCATAACAGTCTCACAAAAGAGAGCCGAACCGACAAACCTCGCATGCCCTTGGCCCGCGCTGCAGTGTGTAAACTGACGAAAAAGAAGGCACCTCCAGCCAAAAAGAAACAGAACACAACGATCTTCTCGCCCCTAAAAGCACTAAAGCAACATGAAAGAACACTAGACTCTAGACCCACCGATGTGGAGAACAGTTCTTACCCAACATGGAGGGAAGAGGGCTTCCCCGCAAACATCCCCAAACCCTGAACCCTCAACCCTAAACCCTAAAACCTGAAACCTGACACGCCTAAACCCTAAACCCTGAAACCGTGACCTCCAGGAGCTTCTTGAAGGGATCCTCCTTCTCCACGTTGCCGCCCTGATCCTGCACAGGGGACTCTACAAGGGATGCGCCTGTGGTGAAGGGCTGCTTAGGGTTTAGGGCTTAGGGTGTCTGTAGGGTTTAGGATTTAGGGTTTAGGGTTTAGGGTTTAGGGTTTAGGGTTTAGGGTTTAGGGTTTAGGGTTTAGGGTTTAGGGTTTAGGGTTTAGGGTTTAGGGTTTAGGGTTTAGGGTTTTTAGTCAGTTTAGGGTTGGGTACGGTTGTAAGGTTTGGGCTTTTCGGGTTTGGGCTACGGATGAAAAGAAGGGCCCTAGCCCAGTGGCCCTGTTCATGCAACAAGGGCACCTCAGTTTTCTCTTAACAACCCTAAACCCTAGAGCCTGAACCCCAAGCCCCAAACCCCAAACCCTAAACCCTATACCCTAAACCCTAAACCCTAAACCCTCCCTAAACCCTAAACCCTAAACCCCAAACCCTAAACCCTAAACCCCAAACCCTAAATCCTAAACCCTAAACCCTAAACCCTAAACCCTAAACCCTAAACCCTAAACCCTAAACCCTAAACCCTAAACCCTAAACCCTAAACCCTAGCCCGAAACCCTAAACCCTGAGTCCTGGCCCATGTTCATCTTCTCGGCGATCCAGCGACGCTGGGCCGCGTCGACCAGCGCCCAGGGCAAGTTCAGCTCCATACAACGCTCCTCAGGGTTTGGGGTTTAGGGTTTAGGGTTTAGGGTTTGGGGTTTAGGGTTTAGGGTTTGGGGTTTAGGGTTTAGGGTTTGGGGTTTAGGGTTTAGGGTTTGGGGTTTAGGGTTTAGGGTTTGGGGTTTGGGGTTTGGGGTTTAGGGTTTAGGGTTTTGGGTTTGGGGTTTGGGGTTTGGGGTTTGGGGTTGAGGGGCTGAGGGGGCCGGAGAATCCAGAAAGCTAAGCCCGGCCAGTTCCATGTAAAGCCCCATGGAATTGCATTACGAAACGAGGTCCCATAGCTAGCCCACGGGCCGCCCGGACTGTCTTTAGTAAGTTTGTCTGGTCACCCTCTATAATACACAGTTTTTTTTTCCGGATGGTTTTTTTCTAAAGGGTTTGTGTTTAGGGTTGAGGGCTTACGCAGTAAGGCTTGAGGCCCTGAGGGCCTTAGGCTCCAGAAATCTTAACAGCTGGAGAGCTTCAGGCAGTAAGGTTCCAAAGGCTTGAGGCGCTGAGGGCGGTTGGGGGTGGGGGGGGGGGGGGGGGGGCGATATATATTCAAAGCAGTGCAACATGAACATTAATTACAGGACTAACAACAACTGCAACCATAATGACAATAATCGCAATCATAAACAACAACAACAATTACAACAGCAACAACACAGGGCGGACGTGCTGTAAACGCGCGGGTTGGGAAGACGCGCGAGTTTAATTTTTGGTTTATCTTTTTTTCGGAATGAGAGTCGCGCGGCCTGCATGGGACAAAAGCAACTTGAACTGTTGTGTAGATCGCAAACGTTCTGCTGGAAGCATGTTTTTGGTTTTGAGCTTGTCTATGTTTCGGAAAAAAGTGCGTTTCGCGTAGGAGGTCCTGCGCACGGGATTTTCGTTTTTTGTCGTTTTTTGGTTGGGTCAGGGCAGTGCGTAGCGGCGTAGCCAGCAAAAAGCATGCTTACAAGGTAAAAAAGTGAGGGGATGTCGTTTTCCACATGTGTGAGAACGTGGAAATCGCAGGCGGCGAAGTCACTGATGTCAGTCAACAACATTAACCATAATAGCAATATTACAACAATAACAAGAATTACACTCATCACAACGCTGACAAAAATCACAATATTCACATTCATAAGAATAACAGCCATAATGTTAAGTTAGCTTCCCCCCCCCCCCCCCAGGGCTCTGGAGAAGGAGTTTGCAGCATACAGCATGTTGCTAAACCAAACCCTACAGCAACTAGGACGTCTCACCCCTTATATACCCCATACAAATTAAGGGTTCATACATGAGAACCCTGTCAAGGAGGTTAGGGACCATATTAAGGGACCATATAACTACAACCCAGGTGGCCCCTAACTTTTTTGTAGGGGGCAACCCGTGCCCTTAAGAGAAAGAGCCCCAAAAATGTGGGACCACAAACCTTGGACACTGAGCCACAGACGCAGCCTGGCTGCTCTAGCAACCCCCGAAGAGTCTCATCTGAGGCATTTTGGAACAGGAACCTCCCAAAACCTCGAATTTGGCGGCTCCTGAGGGGGCCCAAGCCCCCCTAAGGCCATCTAACATCGCCAGGGCACAGCGTTCAGGCGCTCCAGGACCGCGGTGTTCGTGACGCCGTTCCTGTGGCTCAGGGTTCAGGGCCTGTAGGGTTTAAAGTTGAGGGTTGAGGGTTTAAGCCAAGCGACGTTCGCTGCCAGACACAAAAAAATGTTCCAGCCTATGAACGGTGATGTGGCGCCGAGCCCTCGACCCCAAACCCTAAGACTTGGATGTTCATGGGCAGTTTTCAGTAGGGTTTAGGGTTTATGGTTTAGGGATACTTGGAGGTTCATGCGTAGTTATAAGTAGGGTTCTGAATAGGGCAACCATTCTTGTAACCTTACTTAAGCTCTAACCCTACTTGAAACTACCCGTGAACCTCCGAGTAGACCCTAAACCCGACAGCGTCTCCACACTCCAGACCCCGAAAAAAACGAGTGATCCTAAACCCTAAACCCTAAACCCCAAACCCTAAACCCTAAACCCTAAACCCTAAACCCTAAACCCGAAGCCCTCCTGGAAGCCCTCCTGGGTTCGGCTCCAGAAAACATATCGACACACAGCTCTTATGGGGGTGAGCCCCTCCTCTGGAACCCTTTAGGGGTTCTACCTTGGACCCTTAAGGTTGTACCGGTTTAGGGTTTAGGGTTTAGGGTTTAGGGTTTAGGGTTTAGGGTTTAGGGTTTAGGGTTTAGGGTTTAGGGTTTAGGGTTTAGGGTTTAGGGTTTAGGGTTTAGGGGTTCTACCTTGGACCCTTAAGGTTGTACCCTTGGGTTCTGGGGTCCCTTGTAAGGTTTTCTAAGGGAATATCAGGGCCATATTAGGAGTATATTAAGGGGAACCTTTAGGGGTACAACCCTAAACCCTAAACCCTAAACCCTAAACCCTGAACCCTTAGGGGTACGAGTCTTCATCCCTTGGGACCCTTTCTTAGGGTTTAGGGTTTAGGGTTTAGGGTTTAGGGTTTAGGGTTTAGGGTTTAGGGTTTAGGGGATGTTCCCCCTTATACTAACAAGCCTTAATAGGCATTCTCGTACCCCCATGATAAGAACTGCTCGTATAAGGGGGAACATCCCAACCCGAAGCCCCGACACCTAGCCTCCAAACCACCCCCCAAAAAAAAGACGAAGCCGCAGGGTGAGGGCTTAACTCTACCCTAAACCCTAAACCCTAAACCCCAAACCCCAAGCCCTAAACCCTAAACCCTGCCTAAACCCTAAACCCTAAACCCCAAGCACTCAACCCTAAACCCCCCAAACCCCCCAAACCCCGCTGGCAACTGGCTACCGAGTCTCTCGACCATCAGCCTGGGATGCACAGGAAGAGCCACTGGGGGTTTCAAAGGTTTAGGGTTTAGGGTTTGGGGTTTGGGGTTTAGGGTTTGGGGTTTAGGGTTTAGGGTTTAGGGTTTAGGGTTTAGGGTTTAGGGTTTAGGGAATACTTGGGGTTCCTCCTTGGGTTTTATAAGGGTTTAGCGCTTAGGGTTTAGGGTAAACGGGTTAAAGGGTGACGATTGAATGTTTGATGGTGTAAAAGGGTGACCCTAACTCTGAGAAAGTACCAATCACTTAGTGCTTGAATTTGCGTTCAGTTTTTGTGTCGTTGTTCATTGCTCTACTCCTGCTGTCGTACACTTAACGACCCTGAACTACCCTGAACTACCCTAAACTACCCTAAGTTACCCGCAACTACCCTAAGCTTCTAAGCTACCGAACAGACGTAGACTTAGTCTTTATAACCCTAAACCCTAGACCCTAGACCCTAAACCCTAAAACCTAAACTTAGTAGGCCGCTCATGGCCGCGGCAGAAGTGCCAAGCAGCTTCAGCAGCCGGTCTGTGTGAGAACTCATGCCTTGGGTGACGCGTGTTGTTTCAGGGTTTGGGGTGTAGGGTTTAGGGTTCAGGGTTTAGGGTTTAGGGTTTAGGGTTTAGGGTTTAGGATTTACGGTTTAGGGTTCAGGCGTCAGGGTTCAGGGTTCAGGGTTCAGGGTTTAGGGTTTAGGGCTTAGGGCTTAGGGCTTAGGGCTTAGGGAGGGGGAGGGGCGGGGGGGCGGTGAGGGCGAGGGCCCCCGCACACCCTGCACTCCCACGTTTAGGGTTCCGGGCTCAGGCCCTAAGCTCCAAAACCTTTAAGGGCCCCGGGGGAGGGGGTGGCGGTGCTAGCCCTTAAGCTCCCTTGAAGGGGGTACTGAACTCAAGTCGGGGTCACCTAGGGTGACCATGGTCTCGGCGATTACCTCCACAAGCTTCTGCTCGCTGTCTGCCTTCTGTATTTTGATTTTTTTGGGGGGGAGGGGAGAGAGGGGTACGGAATTCAGGGCTTGCGGTTCTTGGGTTTGTGTGAAGTCGTATATAGCTCTTGAAGAAAGTCTAGCCTAGGGCCTAGGGAATAGGGCCACCAGCAGTCATTATGGAGCTTTGCACAAGCACATCGAGAGGATACATGAAAGGTTGTTTGCTCCTATGTCAGGGCTGATGGCCGCACGTCCTCTCAGAACCCTAAACCCTGACACCCTGAGGATGCCTGCGGGCCCCTAGACCCTAAACCTTGACGCCCGAAGGATGCCTGCTAACAAAAAAACTAAACTCTAAACCTTAACCCTAACACGGAAATCCTCAGCCGACCTCAACCGTTGAGTCCCCTGATAGGTGAGGGTGGGGGGGGGAAAACTCTTGAAGCGCCTCGTGACCTTGGGGGTTTGCGATTTTCGTGTTTAGCGTTTCAGCGTCTTACCGCTTTAGGGTTTGGGGTTTAGGGGTCTAGGGTTTTGGGGGTTTAGGGTTTTAGGTGTTAGGGTTTAGGGTTTAGGGTTTAGGGTTTAGGGTTTAGGGTTTAGGGTTTCGGGCTTCGGGAAACCTAGACTCTGGCATGCACCCAAGACAGCCCCTTTGGGACCCTGAACCCTAAACCCCTTCAAGCCATGAGGGCACACCGGGGCTCTTTAGGGTTTGGGGTTTAGGGTTTAGGGTTTAGGGTTTAGGGTTTAGGGGTTTAGGGGTTTAGGGGTTTCGGGGTTTAGGGGTTTAGGGGTTTAGGGGTTTAGGGCTTTAGGGGGTTTGGGGTTTAGGGTTTAGGGTTTAGGGCTTAGGGCTTAGGGCTTAGGGTTTAGGGTTACTTGTTGCGGCTAAGGAACTTCGCTGCCATAGGACTATGGTAATTTTGAACTGATCTGACGTTGCTTAACAGCAACCCTGTCCCTCCGGAACGAGCCAAAACACTACAGCCCCCTCCCCGAGAACAACACCCTGAAACCCATGCCCCGAAGCCTTAATTGCTTTTGGAACCCGTTTTCAGGAGCTGCATGGTTTCTCGTGCTTCTATATTTCTACATACATCTATACATATATATATATATACATGTAGAAAGAGAGATACATACATCTATACACATATATATATATATATACATGTAGAAAGAGAGAAACGGAGAAGCAACTAAAACTAAAGAGCATCTTCAACCACAGTAAGGAGACCCCCAGAAACGCTGAACCCCTAAAGCCCTCAAAATCTCAGGGGCAAGTCACAAATATGAAGAAACACCGTTCAATCTTGAAATAGATGTGGAAACAAAAGACCCTGAACCCTGAACCCTAAACCCTAAACCCTGAGACCCAAAAATGCAGAGCACCAAACCTCCCGGCCTCTTCGCCCGCGCCGAGGCCATATTTGTCAGCGCTGACCCCGCCAGCACCACCTCCTGGTGTGAGGGGTTTAGGGTTTAGGGCTAGGGTTTAGGGTTTAGGGTTTAGGGTATAGGGTTTAGGGTGTAGGGTTTAGGATTCAGGGCGCAGGGGCCGTTGGGGTCGTTTGGGGTCAGGGGTTCAGGGGGTGCAGGGTTCAGGAGGCTCAGGGGGGTGAGGTTCTTTTTCGGGCTGGGGTGTGGGTCAGAGTCTTGGGGTTTGGGGCGGTCTTCTCCCGAGCTAGCACGGGTAGGGGGCTAGGCCTTTTTGCACTTCTGTTCGAGTAAACTCTTGAAAGTACATACAGCCCAAAACTAACACTAAGCCCATGTAGGTGTAAAGTTCAGAGTTTGGGGGTTTAGGGGGCAGGGATCAAGACCTCTGGCCTTAAAAACACTTTGAGCAAGGTCGACTCAAGGGTGGGACCATGGGCCGGTGGCTACCTCCAGCTGCGAAATGCAACAAGCCCCTGGTTCTTAGTCGGGAATGAGGGAATTAGGGGCCTCTATATACCCTTTTTAGGGATTATATAGGGTACCTCATTCCCTCATTCCCTACTAAGAACCAGCCAGACAAGCCACGTCCTGAACCTGGTTGAGTGAGCTCTGCTTCAAGATTGTTGCGTCTAGAGCTAGCCACTGAAAGGCCAGTAGAAATCGCAAGAATTATGTAAAAGAAGACTCTTGGCCAAGCAGGTTTCCATATGAGAGCCCCCCTGAAACCCTTTAAAGAAAAGTATGAAAACATAAAACTGTAAACCATAAACCCCCGAAACTTTAGACCCTACACACCGCCACTGGCGAAAAGCACTGCCCGATTGCTCTCGGGAGTGTCAGGATCCGTGCCCGCGCCTGATTCAAGTGCCTTCTTCTTCAGATCGTCCTGAAGGACACGTGGCACACTAAACCCCCTAAACCCCTAAACCATAAACCTCTAAACCGTAAACCCCTAAAACCCTGAAGTTTAGGGCCAAGAGGGTGTACAGTTTAGGGTTTAAGGTTGGCGGGACGCACGTCTACAAAGACCTTAATCTTGAAGGTGGTGTAGGGATTGATCTAAACCTTTCTGACGAACGACGTGTCATTTACTATACCGGAGGGTATCAGGGCTGTGCAGGTGTAGAGAAGATTTGCTGGGCCCGTTCACAGCACAGAGTTTGGGGCCTGGGATCCACCCTGGGCTTCTGCTGCCCAACGTCAGCGCGCCTCATCGACGTGGTCGCTGGGCGACAGCCCATAGAGCTCGCGCGCGGCCTCCACAAACTCCGACTGGAACTCCCTAAGCCCTAAACCCTAAACTCAGCACCCGTATGGAAGCCCGGTCATGCGAAGTAAGAGAGCTGAATCCGCATCGTCATTCGGGGGTGCGAAGATTGCGCGGCAATGTTGGGGACCCAACCCTAAACCCTAAACCCTAAACCCTAAACCCTGAACCCTGAACCCTGAACCCTAAACCCTGAACCCTAAACCCCAAACCCTAAACCCCAAACCCTAAAGCCTAAACCCTAAACCCTAAACGCTAAACCCTCTAAACCAACCCCAAACCATAAACCCTAAACCGCAAACCCAAAACCCCAAACCCGAAATGCTCGGCCGCGGGCTGGGGATCCACATTGGAATGATGGGTGGTCATAAGGATCAAGAAAACATACTATTTGCTTAAGAGCCCCGCAAACAAGCTTAAGAATACTCGCTATAGGGTTTAGGGCTTAGGGCTTGGGGCTTAGGGCTTAGGGGTTAGGGTTTAGGGTTTAGGGGTTAGGGTTTAGGGTTTAGGGTTCAGGCTTTAGGCTTTAGGCTTTCGGCTTTCGGCTTTAGGCTTTGGGCTTTGGGCTTTAGGCTCTAGGCTCTAGGCTCTAGGCTTCAGGGTTCAGGGTTCAGGGTTCAGGGTTCAGGGTTTAGGGTTTAGGGTTTAGGGTTTAGGGTTTAGGGCTTGGGGTTTAGGGTTTAGGGTTTAGGCCTAGCCCACACTCCCCATGAGAAGCAGCTGTGAGCCCACCCGAGCCGGAGCCTCCAGCTTGCGCCCATGGACCATCCTTGGGAGGACGGCCGCGCAAATGCTGAGGGTTTGGGGTTTAGGGTTTCGGGTTTAGGGTTTAGGGTTTAGGGTTTAAGGAGGTTCAGGGGGGCCTCGAATACCCTAAGCTCTAAAACCCTAAAAAGATAAAACCCTGCGCCCTAAAGTCCAAAACCCTAAACCCTGAAGCCTGAAAAAACCCTTGGAACCAAACTCCCTCAACCCCTCACCTGCCTGAGTTCGAACCCCTGGGTCCCGCTAGTTTCGGAGTTTAGGGTTTAGGGCGTGGGGTGTAGGGCTTTCGCGTCTTATGCTGAGGCAAGCAGCTTCATGCGCTGCATCCAAATGATGAAAGTGAACCTTGGCTGCACAGGGTTTAGGGTGTAGGGTTGAGGGATTAGGGTTTAGGGTGTAGGGCTGAGAGTTGAGGAATTAGGAATTAGGGTTTAGGGTGTAGGGTCTGAGGTTACTGGTGCGGCCTACTCGGGAGTGTCCATCACGATGTGAAACCAGCCCTTAGGATTCATGTATGCGGGTTTTTGGGGTTCAGGGGTCTAGGCTTTGGGTTGGGATGTTCCCCCTTTTTCTAACAGTCCTTAATAGGCATTCGAGTACCCCATGTTAATCCCTCTAAAGGACGCTTAGAAAAAGGGTGAACATCTCCAGTTTGGGGTTTTAAGCTCGGATCCAGGCATAGGGCTTGGGGCTTAAGCATATAGTGCAGAGGGTTGGGGGCTTAGGGTTTAGGGTTTAGGGTTTGGGGTTTAGGGTTTAGGGTTTAGGGTTTAGGGTTTAAGGCTTTGAGGGTACCCTTCCTTTCCAAGCAGGTGCTTGCAGCCTTTGGGGTTTTGGAGAGTCGCGCGCCAGGGCTGGGAAGAAACAGCTCGCAGTCATCGAGTAGGGAATGAGGGAGCTGCAAGAATAGCTCTTATGAGAATACCCGTTCCTTTGCTCCCTAAACCCGGAAAAACCCTAAACCCTAAAACCCTAAACCCTAAGCCCTAAACCCTAAGAACCCTAAACCCTAAGCCCTAAACCCTAAGAACCCTCAACCCTAAAACCCTAAACCCTAAACCCTAAGCCCTAAACCCTAAGAACCCAAGAACCCTAAACCCTAAGAGCCCCAGACCGCTCCAATGCCCAAAACCGTCCAGGCAAAAGCCCGGCGGGGCGCTTGGACACGATGTTGAGGACGACCCAGCCCAACTCCTTGGCAGCCCAGTAGCCATGTGATGATAAGGTGCAGAGTTTCGGGTTTAGGATTCTTAGGGTTGAGGCTTTAGGGTCTAGGGTCTAGGGTTGGGGGTTTAGGGTTTAGGCTTTAGGGTTTAGGGTTTCGGGTTTCGGGTTTCGGGTTTAGGGTTTAGGGTTTAGGGTTTAGGGTTTAGGGTTTAGGGTGGTTACTTTGTAAGGGAACCGGAACCAACAACACAAAGGACAAAGGGTACCACTGGGCCACCAAGACTCGATGACCAGGTAGTCGGTGACCACGCCGAAGCCCTCGACACCTGGGGGGGGTTGGGGATGTCTCGGGTTTAGGGTTTAGGGCTTAGGGCTTAGGGTTTAGGGTTTAGGGCTTAGGGTTTAGGGTTTAGGGTTTAGGGTTTAGGGTTTAGGGGTTAGGGATATAGTACCCCTATTATTATCCCTATTAAGGACTGTCAGCATAAGGGGATACATCCCAACCCGGTTTGCTTTAGGCGGGTTAGGGCTTAGGGAATTTAGAGTCTTGGCGGGCGAGGGTTAGGGGTTAGGTTTCAGGGTTTCAAGGTCTCCGGGTGTAGCGTGTAGGGTTTGGGGTTTTCGGGTTGAGGGTTTAGGGTTTCGGGCAAGAGGGTCTGGGCGGGGGGAATGGCCACGAAGCGTTCTGAAACCCCACGCAAGCAGAAGCTTGAGAAGCTGAGGCGTGGGCTCAAGCTGAACCATATCGGAAATGGGAACCACGTGATAATCCTCGGACGGGTGATATCGAAAAGTCGAGCAAGGTCGGCCCTAGCTACTCCAATCAGTAGCGCAAAGCTATGGATGGCGCCGTACCTTGAAACTTGTGTGAGATTCATGATCCTCCTGAGCATAAACCCTAAACCCTGAACCCTAAACCCTTGCTACAACGTCCTGCCCACGGGCCTCGACATCTTCACGATCTCGAGACCGTTTCGAAGGCTAGCCCAAGCCCTCAACCAGATAGCAGCACATGGGCCCTTTTGGGTTTAGGGTTTAGAGTTTAGGGTTTAGGGTTTGGGGTTTAAAGTCTCATCCGCGGTACGAAACACAGAGCGGTCGCAGTTTTGATTAGCCCCAAATATCATCACCAAGCCAGACTCCTCGTCCTTCTCAACGTGCATAGGGTTCCAAGCGCTTCAAGCAAGGCTCTGACTCTACCTCCTGAACCCTCAACCCTAAGCCCTGAACAAACCCTTCACCCTAAACCCTAAACCCTAAACCCTACTGGGTTAGGGTTGTGGGGTTTCTTTCTGCCAAAGCCGAAGGGGCAGAAGAATCGAGAGCTTGCGGAAGTCCGAGTCCCCTTCAAGGATGCTGGAGACTTGGAATGTTCCCCCCCGTTATACTAACAGTCCTGAGTAGGAATTAGGGTTTAGGGTTTAGGGTTAGAGTTTAGGGTTTAGGGTTTAGGGTTTCGGGTTTCAGGTTTAGGGTTTAGGGCTTGGGGTTTAGGGTTTTGGACAGCTAGTATAAGGGGGAACATCCCAATTGAAGAGTGTTGACTTGACTTGGGTTGCGTCTTACGACTACTTGCTCAAGAACCCCTTAAACAATCAAGATAATTGCCCCGTATATTGTCTTTATCAGGAAGAGCTTCTTTTATTTTATTTTTTGGGGGATTCTTCAAAGCGTACTTTGGGAGGGGTGTCAGAGGGGTGGATGAATATGGAAGGCACTGGAATGTTAAGTTGGTTTCAGCTCCAGCGTGCCCCAGAAGCATAGGGGCTAGGGTTTAGGGTTTAGGATTTAGGGCTGAGGGTTTAGGATTTCACTTGGCCACGGATCTATGGCTTTGCGGTTGCGTGCGAACCTTGTATGGCAGGGGTCAAGAACAGCACGAACATTGGCCTGCGCGGCCCTACAAGAAACCGCAAAGCCAGACCAGAAAGCCCCATTTCAGGAGCCTATTCAAACAAAGGGAACTCGGAAACCCCCAAATTTTGCAGTATGTAAGAGGATGTTGGGATGACTTTGGTATTGCTTTAGGCTCCTACACACTGCGCCCTACCCTGGACCCTAAACCCTAAACCCTAAACCCTAAACCCTAAACCCTATCTTAAACCCTAAACCCTAAACCCTAACCCTGCGATGGCCGCGCCTTGGAAAAGGCTCTCCTCACCCTCGCTGTTCTCTTTGATTTGCAACTCGGAAGAAGGGCCCTACGTCATAAAGCCCCTTGAGCCCTTTTAACTACATGGTTTAGGGTTCAGGGTTCAGGGTTTAGGGTTTAGGGTTTAGGGTTTAGGGTTTAGGGTTCAGGGTTCAGGGTTTAGGGTTTAGGGTTTAGGGTTTAGGGTTTAGGGAGATCCAGGAGTAACCTACATCGTAAGGCCCCTAAGCCCTTTTTAAGGCTTACAGGGTTAAGGAGTTAGGGTTTACGCCATTTAGGGATTAGGGTTTCTGGTTTGGGGTCCCTACATCGTAAACCCCGTTCAGCCCTTTTTAACTAGACAATGTGGGGTTTAGGGTTTGGGGGTTTGGGGTCTAGGGGTGGGTTTAGGGTTTAGAGTGTGGAGTTTAGGGTTGAGGGTTGAGGGTTGAGGGTTTAGGGTTTAGGGTTTAGGGTTTAGGGTTTGGGTTTTGGGTTTGGGGTCTAGGGAGATCCAGGAGTAACCTAGGAATAGAAAAGGGTGCCCTTTTTGGTTGAGAGGGGGTTACAAGGAACCTAAACCCCGAAGAAGGGGAATAAGTAACCCGAAACCCTAAACCCCATAAGGGCCTACTCTGGGCCCTAGTTGAGGTTGAGCCTCCGATTTAAGGATCCAATACCTGTGTAGGCTCCTGTACAGCACTGAGCAGTTGTGAGGTGGGTTTAGGGTTTACAGAGTTTGGGGTTTGGGGTTAGGGGTTTACAGAGTTTGGGGTTTAGGGTTTCGGGTTTAGGGTTTAGGGTTTAGGGTTTAGGGTTTAGGTTAAACCGTAAAGGCTAGGGGGCTAGCGCTCAAGTTTCAGAGATGCAGAGTTGCGGGCGCATGTGTCAGCAAAGTCTGCTTCGCGTCAGGCCCTTGAGGATTTCATGCAAGGTGCCTCTGAGTATTCCAACAAGAGGGTTAGGGTTTAGGGTGTGGCCTAAACCCTGCGGTTAGGGTGTAGGGTTTAGGGTTGAGGGTGTAGGGTGTAGGGTTTAGGGTTTATGGTTTTTGGCTGCCCTTGAATGCTGTCAGAGTCGCCGCGTTGTGGTAGAACATGATCATGGCCAGCATGAGGCCGAAGGCATACCTGGGTTGAGAACTTAGGGTTTCGGGTTTAGGGTTTAGGGTTTAGGGTTTAGGGTTTAGGGTTTAGGGTTTAGGGTTTAGGGTTTAGGGTTTAGGGTTTAGGGTTTAGGGTTTAGGGTTTAGGGTTTAGGGTTTAGGGTTTAGGGTTTAGGGTTCAGGGCTGGCACCCAAACCCAGAGAGCCTGAATCCTCCCGGAGAAGCCCGAACAAGCCCTACTGCATCTTGAAATTCAAGCCCCAAACCGGCCCCAAACCCTTGTGATTTGCGGGATTAGGGTTGTGGCATTTGCGGGTTTAGGGTTAGGGCCATAAACCGCTGAACCCATACCCCAAGCCCGGCGAAAACCACCAACTCCACATGCGGCAGGGCGGCCAGGCGTAGCGCAAGGCGTCTCCTGAAGCAGTGAACTACCATGCGACCGGCGGTCGTTAAGGTTTCGGGCTTCGGGCTTTTCAGGGTTTAGGGTTTAGGGCTTTTGGGGTTACCCTCTGTGCAATAACAGCTCGAATTGCCCGGCAGGAGGGCTTGGGGGCGGTAAAGAACGTGCGCAAGAACCGTTAACACAAGCGTTTAACCTGGCTTTCAAGTCCAGTCTACCTACTTATTGGGGCTTAGGGTTTAGAGCTTGAAGCCTTGCCGCACACCTTAGACCACGAAACCGATACTTAAAGCTCCAAGCCCCAAACAGTAGCTACTTTAAGGTTGGACGTTCAGATTGGGGGTCCGGAGGAAACCCATGTTCACCCCCGCCCCCCGGCCCTCTTCGAGCGTTTGGCGCCCTTCGCCGGGTTTTTAAGACTTTGGGCCTAGGGACCCCCCAAAACCCAACCCCGAAACCCCGAAACCCCGAAACCCAAAAACCCCAAAAACCCCCGAAGCCCCAAAGCGGGCTCCTGTGAACATCGAGGCCGTGCCGCAAAGGAGCACCGACACGGAGATGAGTGGCATCCTGGGAGGGAACTTAACGAAGCCTTTTTATACGGGCTTAGGGTTTATTTAGGGTTTAGGGTTTAGGGTTTAGGGTTTAGGATTTAGGGTTTAGGGTTTAGGGTTTAGGGTTCAGGGTCCCCAAGACAAGATCGACGCCCAGGTTCATTCGGGCACCGCCGACTACACTTACGGCGGCTAGGCACTACACGACTGGAGCTCTGCCTTCAGATATGAAGTAGGGTTTATATATTTATTGTATCCCCAAAAGGACACTCAACATATACACTCACCAATATTTAAAAGGAGTCTTACATACAGTCACCAGTAACAGTAATATAAACCTACTTCACATGACTGGAGTTCTGCCTTCAGATATCAAGACCTTGCCTGTTTGACAGGTTGATCAAGAGAATCCCGGAAAACGGCTTGTATAGAACCTTCAAGAAAAGGGTAGATGTAGGGTTCTCAAGATCCCCCTCCCAAAAACCCGAAACCCTAACCCCGACGGCAGCCAGGGCGCATGAAGCGGCGGTAGCTCGGGACCCGAGCGCCTTTCGGGGGGGTGGGGGGCGGAACTACAGGGCCCTCAATGAACAGGGCCCTCAAAGGAAGCGCTATTTGGGACCGGGGTTTAGGGCAACGAAAGCAACACGAAGCGGTAAACTCCTAAACCCTAAACCGAGCACTTAACTACAAAGTAGCTCCACCTGCAAAGTGGACAGCCGAAATCCCAAACCAACGTAGTAGATGGCAGAATTCTGCAGCTTCGCCTGCCAAGACCACCAGCTTGAGCTGCATGATGGGACACGTGGCGATCCACTCGATAGGACGGGACCTAGCGGCTTACCCAGGCCGGAGGCATGTAGGGTCTAACTCCCCTAAACCCTAAACCCTAAACCCTAAACCCTAGACCGCATGAACTAAGGGGCTTGTGGCGCCTCCTTGGTTCAGGAGTCTGGGTCACCACACAAAGCAGGCTTTTAGGGTGCAGGGTTTGAGGGTTGAGGGTTGAGGGTTTAGGGTTTAGGGTTTAGGGTTTAGGGTTTAGGGTTTAGGGTTTAGGGTTTAGGCCCGGAAGCCTCGGGGCTTTGGGAGCTGAAGCCTTCTTGGAACACGTGACCTCCGTTGCAAGCCCTGGGATGATTGAGTGCAGGGGGGGTTTAGGGTTTAGGGCTTAGGGTTTAGGGTTTAGGGATTTAGGGATTTAGGGGTTTAGGGGTTTAGGGTTTAGGGTTTAGGGTTTAGGGTTTAGGGTTTAGGGTTGAGGGTTGAGGGTTGAGGGTTGAGGGTTGAGGGTTTAGGGTTTAGGGTTTAGGGTTGAGGGTTGAGGGTTGAGGGTTTAGGGTTTAGGGTTTAAGGTTTCGGGAAAACCTCCCTACCCAGAAACCCCAAACCCTAAACCCTTAAACCCTAAACCCCTAAACCCGAAACCCCTACACTCTAAACCCCGAACCCTAAACCCTAAACCCCAAACCCTAAACCCTAAATCCCTCAGCCCAGTGACAAGTTCAGTGTGAAGTTGTTCGCACGCCCCGGGAGGTCGAAGTCGTCGATCCTAGGTGGAGGGGTCTGCGATTTGGGGTTTGGGGCTTGGGGTTAGGAGTCCAGGGTTTAGGTTTAGGCTTTAGGGTTTAGGGTTTAGGCTTAGGGCTTAGGGCTTAGGGTTCAGGCTTCAGGGTTTAGAGTTTAGGGTTTAGGGTTTAGGGTTCAGGGTTTAGGATTTAGGGTTTAGGGTTTAGGGTTTAGGGTTTAGGGTTTAGGGTTTAGGGTTTGGGGTTTAGGGTTTAGGGTTTAGGGTTTGGGGTTTAGGGTTTAGGGTTTAGGGTTTAGGGTTTAGGGTTTAGGGTTTAGAGGGTTTAGGGTGTTTAGGGTGTTTAGGGTTTAGGGTTTAGGGCTAAGATTTAGGGGCTTCGGGGGGACGCCTCCCAGACCAGAAGCCCGAATAACTGCTGTAGCGCGTCGCCGTGAGCTGCAGAATGTTGAAGAAGCCCGAGAACAGCGCGACTGCAGAGCCCCACAGGTTGGCTTCTAGGGTTTAGGGTTCAGAGCAGCCAGCAGCAGCAGCAGCAGCAAAAGTCACAGTAGTGGCACTGGTACGTTTTTGCCCAATACGCTACTTTGAGTGAGTGTGCAGTGTGTAGGAACTTTGTTCTGAAGCTGAGTTTAAGCTCACATGTGAATTCGTTTAGTTTGCGCACTTCGTGACTTTTGGCTCAAGGCCTGCGAGTGAAAAAGAGCGTGTCCGCACTTGGTTGAGATAGGTTTGGGTTCGTGCTTTCAAGGGAAAAGGTACCAGAGGGACCTTCGGTTTTTCACGCAAGTGCTCACACTGTGCTTCAGCTTCCAACTCAGCGTGTTTCCGTGCAGACTGCCTTGCAGTTCCCGTCTCTGGTTGAGAGTGGGTTTGCTTCGTGGCTCGTGTGCCATCGAAAAAATCGTGTGCCACTTGGCAACAACCACCAGTTCGCTTGGCAGTCGTAGCAGTAGCTGCAGGAGCAGTAGTAGCAATACCAACAATACTGTTAGTGGGCCATTGTCAATGCAAGTAACCCACGGAGCAAAAGAAAAAATCTAGCACAGCCACACACCACTGGCCGGGGCCTGCCGTACTGATGGTAGCGCCTGGGCTTCCACGGAGTTGGAACCCCTAAACCCAAGGCCCTACAACCCCGAACTTCACTCCTTCAACCTACGGGTCCAACTGAAGATTAACCGAATAAAGGGATCACAAAAATCGGGCTTAGAGGGAAGTTTCTTCACAACGAAGCCCCCGAACTAGGCTCCACAGTTACGGACAACAACAGGGCACCCATCCCTTTCTTGAAGGAATGACGAGGTTCAGGGGCTTTTGGGGCTTGGGGCTTTTGATTTGGCGGGGTGCTACAGGGGAATTGAAGCAATCGTGCACAACCCTAAACATACGGGAGCCTTCCCCCAAACACCGGAAACCCTCAGCCCGATCTGTGCTTGTCTTGAGGCCTGGGTCCAACAACAGCTTCGAAACCCTAAACCCTCAACCCCAAACCCCAAAACCTAAATCCTAAACCCTAAACCCCAAACCCTGAACCCCAAACCCTTAACCCTAAACCCCCAAAGCCTAAACACCCAAACCCCGCCCTTTCCACCCCCCAGGCCAGTAGCAGATCGCGTGGCGCTGTTCCAGGGGAGCCTTCCTCGGTTTCCGATTGGGGTTTAGGGCTTAGGGTTTAGGGTTTAGTGTTTAGGGTTTAGGGTTTAGGGTTTAGGGTTTAGGGTTTAGGGCTTAGAGCATGGGGTTCCAAGTTTCGGGTTTAGGGTTCAGGGACTGTTCAGGGTTTAGGGTTCCAAGCTTAGGGTTCAGGGTTTAGGCTTTAGAGCTTGGCGTTTAAGGTTTAGAGCTTAGGGTTTACGGTGTATGGGGAGCCATCGCCAGGCTTGGCGCCTTCTCGGCGTGCCGTGGGGTTTAGGGTTTGGGGATTAGGGTTTCGGGTTTAGGGTTTAGGGCTTAAGGTTTAGGGTTTAGAATCGAAGGCTTTGGGGCTTGGGGCTTACGGTCTTGGGCGTGCGCAGGCAGTTCTGAAGCAACCACCGCGCCAGTGGCAAATGCCAACCATTGCAGCTCTCGCTCTCACTCACTCACTCTCTCTCTCCCTAAACCCTAAACCCTAAACCCTAAACCCTAAACCCTAAACCCTAAACCCTCCTGCGTGGCTGAGCTGGAGAGCCCTAGACCCATGAAGCCCCAGACTCCCAAGGGTACGTCCGGGTCTTGCTGTTCTAGGAAATGCTCCAGAGACCGTTTCCCGACCGCAAGGAATGCTCGCGCACGGTCTCTGACATTTGGGTGAGTTGTTTTGGGGTTAGGGCCTAGGGCCACTTGAATAAATGAAGGTTTCGGGCTTAGTTGCTTTGGTGAGGGAATCGGTGGGACCAGAAAGAACTGAGCCCTAAACTTGCCCCGACCTAAAGCATTTGAAGCTGTCTATGGTCGCCGCCGAGTGTCTGAGCAACGGCCACCTCGCAAAGGCATCGCGGCGTTAATGGGGAATATGGCGGGGGGGTTAAGATAGTAAAGGACCCCTGATATAGACCCCGGAATGTCAGCCCCTTATAATAGGGACCCCCATAAGGAACTCCTGATATTATCGTAAACCCCATATAGAGAGTTGAGGGCTGGGGATGATCTTGCATGACACTTTGAAACACTCAGCAGATGCTCACAATGAGCGACCTGAGGTCCGATATCCATAAAGGGTTTAGGGTTTAGGGTTTAGGGTTTAGGGTTTAGGGTTTAGGGTTAGGGTTTAGGTGTTAGGGTTTAGGGTTTAGGGCCGTTCCTCAGCAGCAAGCCAGTGATGTGCATGCTGCTCCTTGCCCTTGCGGCATTATCAAGTTGAGCTAAGCTCTAGTCTCGCGACTGCCACCAGCCCTTCCCTCCGACTCGCCTACAGTGCTGCTGCTCTCCTCCTCTGTTACCACACTTCCACTCCCCGCTGCTCCACCAAAAGATTGTGCACAGACCTAAACCCTAAACCCCAAACCCCAAACCCTAAACCCCAAACTCCAAGCCCTAAACGGCCCGAACCCCCTAAACCCTAAATACTAAAACCCAACCGAAAACCCTAAACCCTAAACCACTAACTCGCCTTTGAGTTGTTCGCAAAGATCAGCCACATAGCGAGCCTGAGCGTCCCGCGAGGCTGAATCGGCTTGGGGGATTTCAGGGTGAAACTTCAGGGTGAAGTTTCAGGGCTTGGGATTTAGGGTTTAGGGTTTAGGGTTTAGGGTTTAGGGTTTAGGGTTTAGGGTTTAGGGTTTAGGGTTTAGGGTTTAGGGTTTAGGGTTCAGGGTTGAGAGGCTCATGCCAGGAAAGTCGCTTAGGGGGGCTTTGGGGAACTCCCCAGGGCACCTGATTCCCTGACTCCCTGCCAGGTCTAGTTTGGGGTTTCGGGTTTCGGGTTTCTGTTTAGGGTCTAGGGTTTAGGGTTTAGGGTTTAGGGTTTAGGTTTAGAGTTTAGGGTTTAGGGTTTAGGGTTTAGGGTTTAGGGTTTAGGGTGTAGGGTTTAGGGTTTAGGGTTTAGGGTTTAGGGTTTAGGGTTTAGGTGTTTAGGGGTTTAGGGGTTTAGGGTTTAGGGTTTAGGGTTTAGGGTTTAGGGTTTAGGGTTTAGGGTTTAGGGTTTAGGGTTTAGGGTTTAAAATCAAGGTTTAGGGTTTGGGGTTTTGGACCCAAAGCCGTCACTTAGCTCGAAGCGCGCTCACCAGATCACACCGATCTAAATCAAGGCCCCATCGCGGTGCACTATTCTACTAGATTCCCTACGCCCCCTCATTTAGTACAAACCCTAAACCCGCATGCCGTCTGCCGTAAACTCTACACCTGAAACCCTAATCCCTAAACCCTAAACCCTAAACCTTCCAGGTTCAGGGGGGGGTGGGGTAGGGGGGTGGAGGGCGGTGGGGGGGTGGGAGGGAAGGGGGGTGGGGGAGCGGAGCGGGCGGATGCACTGGAGCGTCTTTAAAGTCAGTCTTTAAAGTCAGTCATCTAGAGGGGGGGGCGTGGGTGGGGGGGGGGGTGGGGGTGGGGGGTCTGATCTTTGAGAATGCTGAAAACTCGAAACAGCTTTCTCTCGGAAAGAGGATCTATGATCATGCTTATACAACTGATCTCCGAACTAAGTGACACGTTGACACATAGGATCTTTTGCAGCCAATTTTACTGCCCATTGAAAGAAAGATCCAATTGTTTCAGGAAATCTCACATTACTAAAACAACTTCATGTACCTGTCTTCGTGTTCACCTTGAATTAAACAACAAGAAAGGATTTTATAAGCAACAAAGCCCACTCAAAGCTTCACTTATTCGGAAAAGTCACTTCAGTGCCATTGATTTTTGCTCAAAAATTGTCAAAACTTGAAAATTGAACGATTCTTTCCAGCCAATCAAACTGTTGCAAGGTCTTCAAATTCTTGAAAGATGAAACAGAAAAAACATTCCACTTCCTTGTTGGCAAAGTTTAACAATGCTGAGCATCTGGTCTCTAGGAGGTTCTTAAGCAAAAGTGCAGAGCGGTTCTCCAATACTCTCACTGCCTTGACACCGCACACACTCAGCAACATACACCACACACACACACAGACAGACACACAGACAAAAAAAAAACGTGTCCAGCATAAACAGGGAACAATTTGAAGAAAAGAGTTCAAACAATAGAAAAAAACAAAAAACAGAAGAGTGGTTTCGTTCTCTCTTCAAATTCGAAACATGAAACAAAAAATATGAAACAAGAATTTGTTTAAAATCAACGAGGAAAAACAAAAAAGTGAATCTTGGCAACTAATTCACTCTGCCTTTTCAGAACAGATTCCAGATTTCACCAGTTTAAAAAACGTGGAAAAAATTCAAAAACAGCTTCTGACACGAAAAACATGTCTTACTCCGGTGTCTCGCTTGCTTCGCTCGCCAGCTGGATTGGCAGGGATGTCGATGGGTTTTCAAGATAGTGCACACAGTCTCTTTGCATCAAGCTTGCAGGCAGTCTGACTGCCTCATACAGAGCATACCTTCTCGGCCTTTTGGCTATGATCAAGTGTAGTATCTGTTCTTATCAGTGTGACAACTGATATGTCTCCAACTGGCTAAGCTGTCACACGGTGCGTCTTCCAGGTTAGCGGGAAAACCGACTAGAAAAGACACTTTTCGAGAAAAGTGGCTTTTCGAGAAAAGTGGCTTTTCGAGAAAAGTGGCTTTTCGCGGACGCGGCGCGCACCAACGCGGCCAGAAAAGTCACTTTTCGCAAAAAGTGGCTTTTCGAGAAAAGTGGCTTTTCGAGAAAAGTGGCTTTTCGCGGACGCGGCGCGCACCAACGCGGCCAGAAAAGTCACTTTTCGCAAAAAGTTGCTTTTCGAGAAAAGTGGCTTTTCGAGAATGGCTTTTCGAGAAAAGTGGCTTTTCGCGGACGCGGCGCGCACCAACGCGGCCAGAAAAGTCACTTTTCGCAAAAAGTGGCTTTTCGAGAAAAGTGGCTTTTCGAGAAAAGTGGCTTTTCGAGAAAAGTGGCTTTTCGAGAAAAGTGGCTTTTCGCGGACGCGGCGCGCACCAACGCGGCCAGAAAAGTCACTTTTCGCAAAAAGTGGCTTTTCGAGAAAAGTGGCTTTTCGCGGACGCGGCGCGCACCAACGCGGCCAGAAAAGTCACTTTTCGCAAAAAGTGGCTTTTCGAGAAAAGTGGCTTTTCGAGAAAAGTGGCTTTTCGCGGACACCGCGCGCTCCAACGCCGCGAGAAAAGTCACTTTTCGAGAAAAGTGGCTTTTCGCGGACACCGCGCGCTCCAACGCCGCGAGAAAAGTCACTTTTCGCAAAAAGCGGCTTTTCGAGAATTCGAGAAAAGTGGCTTTTCGAGAAAAATGGCGCGCGCCAACGTCGCGAGAAAAGTCACTTTTCGCCAAAAGTGGCTTTTCGAGAAAAGTGGCTTTTCGAGAAAAGTGGCTTGTCGAGAAAAGTGGCTTTTAAACAAAAGTGGCTTTTGAAAGACGCTGTGCGCCCCCACACGGCGCCTGCCATTGAAGCAACCAAGAGAACCTCTACGCCTCCCTTCTCCGCTTCTCTGAGCTATGGCACGACAAGGCACCCACGGCGGCATTTATGCCGGCCTTGATAATCATAGTAGAGCTGGGGGGGATTCTGGAGTTCTAGTAGCGGCGCGGGGTTCACAGCCTGACATAGTCGCTGTCGAAGATTAAGAGCATTAAGCAAGCCCCGACGATGTTTTGGGTTTAGGGTTTAGGGTTTAGGGTTTAGGGTTTAGGGTTTAGGGTTTAGGGTTTAGGGTTTAGGGTTTAGGGTTTAGGGTTTAGGGTTTAGGGTTTAGGGTTTAGGGTTTAGGGTTTAGGGTTTAGGGTTTCCAGTTGAGGGTCTGGAGCAAGCCCTCAGGACTAAGACCCAAGCTCTAAAGCCTCCCCCAAACCCCAAACCCCAAACCCGAAAGCCTAAACCCTAAACCCTAAACCCTAAACCCTAAACCCTAAACCCTAAACCCTAAACCCTAAAGTCCCCCCTTTGAACACGAAGGGCACTTCTCTGTTTGTCCTGAGGCTGCTGGGCCAAACCCTAAACCCTAAACCCTAAACCCTAAACCCTAAACCCTAAACCCTAAACCCTAAACCCTAAACCGGTTTAGGGTTTAGGGTTTAGGGTTTCGGGTTTCGAGTTGAGGGTCTGGAGCAAGCCCTCAAGACTAAGACCCAAGCTCTAAAGCCTCCCCCAATCCCCAAACCCGAAAGCCTAAACCCTAAACCATCCTAAACCCTAAACCCTATAAACCCTAATCCCTATAAACCCTAAACCCTAAAGTCCCCCTTTGAACACGAAGGGCACTTCTCTGTTTGTCCTGAGGCTGCTGGGCCAAGCCCTACACCCGAAACCCTAAACCCTAAACCCTAAACCCTAAACCGGAAGAGGAGAAAAGTGGCTTTTCGCGGACGCGGCGCGCACCAACGCGGCGAGAAAAGTCACTTTTCGCAAAAAGTGGCTTTTCGAGAAAAGTGACTTTTCGAGAAAAGTGGCTTTTCGCGGACACCGCGCGCTCCAACGCCGCGAGAAAAGTCGAGAAAAGTGGCTTTTCGAGAAAAGTGGCTTTTCGCGGACACCGCGCGCTCCAACGCCGCGAGAAAAGTCACTTTTCGAGAAAAGTGGCTTTTCGAGAAAAGTGGCTTTTCGCGGACACCGCGCGCTCCAACGCCGCGAGAAAAGTCACTTTTCGAGAAAAGTGGCTTTTCGAGAAAAGTGGCTTTTCGAGAAAAGTGGCTTTTCGCGGACACCGCGCGCTCCAACGCCGCGAGAAAAGTCACTTTTCGAGAAAAGCGGCTTTTCGAGAAAAGTGGCTTTTCGAGAAAAGTGGCTTTTCGAGAAAAGTGGCTTTTCGAGGACACCGCGCGCTCCAACGCCGCGAGAGAAGTCACTTTTCGAGAAAAGCGGCTTTTCGAGAAAAGTGGCTTTTCGCGAAAAGTGGCTTTTCGGGAGCATTTTCCCCGTAACGTCAAAGACACCCCACACGCCAGCACAGGTTGGAGACTTGCTTGTCACATCAATTTTTGCTGGGGAAGTGTCTTCATGAGCTCGCTCAGAAGCCTTCACGTGTTGCGCTGGCATGGCACCAAGCCAGTGGGATCTTCGACCAACCCGGGTTCTGAAGGTCCCAAAGCCACCGGGGAATGAAAGAGGGAACCTTGGATTTGGGGGCTTGCGGCTGAGGGTTTACATCCTGGACCATTCAAGCTTGGCTTCATGAATCCTGTATAACCCCTTGTTTGTGCACACACGCCCTACATAGCCCCCTTGTATGCTTTCAGTCCTTCACTCAACCCT